TCTCCGATTAGGTGAAAAATCCGCGCCGCGCGCGGATAGTGCGACGCAGATTCTTATCGATCACATCATTTAGAGGCAAGTGCAAGTAGCGTCCCGCGCGATAAAAATACCCAGTAATGGTATCAAGAAGAAAAGGTCACTCCGGAACGTGGCCGCCCTTTTCTCCGCGCGCGTGGTAAAACGAACCCGCCGTCGTCGTCGTCGCCGCAAACATTATCGCCTTTAACTCTCGAAAACGCACCCCGCGGAAACGCATTCGCAGTTCACCTTCCCCTGGAGCCGACCCCGGAACGGCCCGAGAGGTCACGCGGGAGGCAAGGAGGGAAGGAGGAGGTCGAGAGGGAGGAAAGCCGGCGAAGGGGGAATCCTCGGAGAGGACTCGCGCTGCTCGCGGCCGGCCTTCTTCTTCTCTTCGTCATTATCATCATCATCCACTACCTCGTCCTCGACGTCTCTTCCGCCGCGCACCGTCGCCGCGTGCGCGATGGGGACTTACGAAATCGACTAGTCGCGCGCATTCGTTCGATTCGTGCCGCTCGCTCGCTCGCTCGCGCGCGCGGAGAGCATCGGCGGTTTTCCGCGACGCGCAAAGGTCACCGCAAGCGAACGCGAGCTCGCTCGGGAAAGAAGACGCGAGTCACCGGCGCGTACTCTCTTACGAGGGGAGGTCAGCTGAGGTAACCGGTAACCCGGCTGGCTCTTCCCTCTCTCGCCTCTCACCTTCACTTCGTTTAATGTTGCAAACCGATGTTCGCTTATCTTCGCTAATACTCTGCGTCGCGTTGCGCCGAGATAATCATGGGGTGTCTCTAATGGAAGTCTTGATTTCGGGATTAATCCTAATGCAAGTTGAACAAGGAGTACTCTTATGAAAAGATGTGCTATTCAATTTTAAAAAATTAATTTATTTTATATATATATATATATATATATATATATATATATAGGTATATATATTACGATCATATAAGTGTTAAAACAATTAATTTATATTTTCATCTTATAACTTTTTAATTGTCGATTTTAATATAATTAATAAATATATATTACTCTTAGCATTTTTAATTTTAATATGCTTTCTAAAGCTTTAAATCCTTATTTTTTAATAATCCTTTCGTATATCATTTTATAATTTTATATTTTTGACGTATAATTCTTTAATTGATATTTATAATTTTTTTTTTTTTTTTTTAATTTATAATGTTAGTACTTCTTAGTATTTCTACAACAAATTTGATGTTTATATTTAAATTTCCGATTGTAATGTGCAATTAATTATTGGAGTAGGATAGTTTCCACGCTACGAGATTACCGATGATTGACGATCGAACGGACGTAAGAAGAGCCATTCGCTAATGTCTGTATTTGCAACAACTCGTCGGGAAGACTCTGGAACAGTGTGTGTTCTTTTGCTTGATAGTTGCTTCGATTATATCGCCGTAGGGCAAATAAATTACATTCTCGTAAATCACCGCGGTTGCAATTTCATTCTCCACATCGAAGGAATTCAGTGTAAAAGCTGCATGTTACGTTAATTCCATATATGTCTTTTACGAAATATCAAAGTAATTACACTCATATATACAACTCTTTCTACGTATATATTTCTCTGCCGCAGTTTGTGTATGCGTGTGGTCTCTTTTAAAATGAATCTGGAATATTTGTTTCTCAAGAATTAATCTTAATGTACAAATTTAATTTATCTTTGACTTTCTAGAACTCCAGTTCTCCAGATATAATTCTTTGCATAAAAACATCGTACTTCCATGTTAATTATGTCAATTACATTTCACATCTTTACTTAAATTAATTGTATATACCTGTTCTAACTATAAAGGAATAATTTTTTTTCTCTTGTAAAATGATTTAAAAATGCATACCCGGATGTCGGTGGACAATTACGGGAATCATATGATGCACGTTAATAAGGGACGTTCGTTTCTTCTATTACCGCACTAAATCGAGGATGCAACTCAATCAGCCTGACGAGACGCGGCCAAGACAAATTCCCCGGGCCCCGTTAAAGTGAGGTCTCGCCGAAAGGTTAACGAAGACCGATAGAGATGCGAAACGTTCGACAATCCGCGAACGAGGCGCAAACGAGGCATCCACCATCCTGCACCAGTGAGCTGCAGTGTCCCGAAGCGCGAGGTGCTGTTCGCGTGATCGTTCTCTACCCCGCCGCCACCCCGGTCGCGGCTCTCCGCGCCGCGCCGCTTCGGGATCGGCGAAAAAGAATATCGCGGTGCGATATCGCGATGCAATCATCTCGCCGGATGAATCTGCATTATTCAGCGAACGGCGTTGAGAAGGCGCGCACGCGAGCCGGCCTCGTGGAAACAGGTACAACGAACGAGACGAGGGGGCCTCTCCGGGGTCGGGCCCCGTCATCGCGGGCCATATCCCGGACCGCGCGCGCGCGCCTTGCAACCCCCCGCTGGTCTCCGGCGGGGAGCGCCTTTTTTTCGATACCGATTTATTGCGAGCGATCGCGCGTACCCGATGCGAAACGGCGCGTCTAGGATAGGCCTCGCGATCGCACGCGCGCTCGCTCGTATATACGTATCGAGCGCGCGCGCGTGGGAACACGCCTTCCTTCGCCGCACGTTCGACAGGTTGAACGCTTTTCTGCGAGCATTCCCACACGTCGGGATTATCGCGCGAAAATTAGCCTATACGCTTCGCGATCGGGATACGTCAGTCGAACGCGTTCTAACAACTTCCTGGATGCGCTCGCCGCGCGGAGGAGACTTGAGAGAGTCTTACGCGCAACGGAGCAAGTTCTATTTGACCGAAATTAAAATCTTCGCGATTCTTACAATAAAATTTCTGCAAAAATAGTCAAAAAAAAATAAAGAAATTCTATCTCAAAAATATAAATTTTGTTTTCACAAAAAATACAGAAAAAAAAGACAGAAGCTCATTAACTGTCTCATTTCATAATAACTATTATATACCGTAATATTATTTTTATATGCTCACGCATGTATTAATGACATAAATGAAGTAAATGTTTCGTATAAAATTTTATATATGTAACTATATGTGTTTATCACATTAATATTTTAATATTGTTACGTGCCTCGTTGCAAAAAATGTATAAGGTACATATGTTCAGCAAATCGTATCTATATATTATGGCGCCGTGTATTATTTAAATATATTTTATAAATGCATATAAATTTCTCTTTTTCCACCGTTTCTAAGGAGTCTGATAGAAAGTATTTCGATAAAATCTCGATCTACGGGGGAGAAAAAAAAAGGTACGTGGCGCTATAAAAGCTTTCACCTTCGTGACTCGGGAGGGCACACGGCATGATATGCATTCTATTCCGCATAATAGAAACGGATCCAACGAGCGCCGACGAGAGCGTTCAAACTTCTCTCGTTAGCATGTATATTCCCCCGCGAAATATTCGCAATCCTCGTGCGCGGTTGAATCGAATGGTGCATCGCGGCGGCGCGATCAGCGGCGATCGAAACAATCGTTTCGCGAGTAGAAACGGACTCTGCGGATCTTCTCACGTTCGTCGAACGAAACTTCGCGAAGCCGGGATAGCCATATAGGTGTGAGAATCTAGCAAATGACGCGATATATATATGTATATAAGTTGAAAACCTATTAAAGCATCATTTAGAGATCGTTTAGCGATTTTCTCTTTAGCAAAAATTTTGTAATGACGTCGTCCAAATTTGCAATATTAGATACTTTTGTGATTGGGGATTGACGTTAAAATTAAAATTTACTTGAAATAAGTAATGAATAACTGTCTACTTTTATAAAGCAAAATGTAAAATCATTTTAAATTGCTTCTATAGCAAACGTAATAGCAAAATCGTTTTCGATCGCTTGCAAATCGAATTCTCTATTATTTGAATCCTTGACATAGTCTCTGTTTTCGCAGTGAATGGATTCAACTAATTAAAACTACATGTGCATGTTAATTTATTCCGTCTTAATGAGGATGCAGAAAAGTTGCCTGGGTCGGCCATGAATCCAAAATTTTTGTTATAAATTCTTCAGGAACACGTGCATTTAAATAAAAACGGCATTAAATATACTAATATTAACGTACTCGTTGAGACCTGTAGGAATACTCGATTCGTTAACTGCCGTTATTAGCTTTAATTTGTATAGAGATAAACCTGAAGGGGGGGGGAGGACGCTGTCTCCGCAACGAAAGGTGGCTTCGAGCACGCCGTCGATATACATGCAGCTTTTCAGCACTTTGTAGAGAGACATACAGGCGAGACGCGGATTAGCGAACACGCGCACGTGTAGGACTTAGCGATACTGGTGCAACAACTTTCTAAGAGTGTCGGCGGGGCCCGAAAAAAGAGCAAGAGCCACGAAGTAGCGGTGGCCGTAGCGCGAGACCGCGAGCTACCTGCCCGCCCGCAGGTCTCCTCGAGAATACCCACCGGGATTGCGTAACAGCCGCGCGCTCTCGCGCGCGATCGGCGGCACAACCCGTGCGCAACAATGCCCGGGCGGGTTGGGTCGCCCAGAAATCGATTTCATAGGGAATCATTGTGTGCGCGGCCGCCTCTCGGTACGTGTTTACCTCGCCCGCTCGACGTACCGATCCGCGCCGATTTTTTCCCGCGAATCCGAGGATTCGATTCGATTTGCGTGACGCAACCAACTCGCTAATCCTCGTGAAACGCGATTTTTTTCCATCGATCGTTCGGCTTTCACGCGCGAGAGCCGTGCGGAGATCCTCGCGTTTGCCTCGATCGAAACGCAATCTGCGAAAATTGTATTGCGGTCTTCGATCGAACGTGTTACGCGCGAGTACGAAGTTACGTACGAATTGAAATTTAACGACTGATCGTTTCAATTTACAGCCGATTTCACCGGACTGCTAATTAATTATTAAAATTTGGAATCGATCAATTTATTTTATTAAACTAAAATCTCAATCTTCCTTTCGGAAGAGGCTTCGAATCTAACGAAAGACAAAGATTCAATTGAATTAATCGAAATTAGTGACAGTCGCTTTTGCCGATCCGCATCGATTAAATCTTTATTTATTATCAATTCAGGTATCATAATTCGTGAACGATGATAATTATCGAGTAAATATTTCTTATTTTTAAGTGACTACATGTATATAAACGTATCTTTAATTTATTCCCTCGAAAAAAAAAAATTAGGAAAGATGAACGTCAGTCGTCCATCGCGAAAATTCGTAATATCCATATCCATCTGAAAAATGCATTTTCGGTACGTAAGCGGCTCTCGCGTGGTAGCGCGCGTGTAATGATGTCAGAAGAGGGAATGTTGCGTGAGGATAATGATATAGTCGGTAAACGGGAGAAGAGAAACAAATACAAACACTCACTTGCTGCTATAACACACTTTATCAAAATCCAGCAGAGCACGCCGCTCGAAACAGTTCCAGCCCTTTTTCGTCTTCTCTCGTTTCTTTTTTTGTGTTTCGTTTTTTCTTTTTATTTTTTTTTTAAATCGATTCGAAAATACGCTACGAAGAGTCCACGCGTGATAACGTTCACACGTCGCGCGCGCGTGTCCACGCCTGAGAGAGAGAGAAAGAGAGAGAGAAAGGTACGTACGGGTGTCGCGTCGTCCGCGAGGAACGTTAACGGCTACCTGCGCGATTCTTACTGCGGCGATCCGCTTTGATAATTACAACGTTGCGAACGGTTGCGAACGGTGTGTATTTACCATGGGATCCAACGTCGGGTGAGGAGAGGAACACGGTGGAGGACGGCGGGACGGGTGAGGGGAGGAGAAGAAGTGCGCTCCTGCCGGAGGATCCCTTTCCGCAAATGCCAGTCCGCCCTCTCGCACGCACAGCTGATTATCGATTAATATAGTTGTTGATTCCACGCTTGCGAGGAGCTTCATTGAATTATCCTTCCGATTGAACGAACAAATCGCGTGGGTAGACTCTCTGTCTCTATCTCTGTCACTTTCCTCCCTTCTCTCTCTCTCTCTCTCTCTCACTCTTTCTCTCTCTCTCTCTTTCATCTCTTTCTCCCTCTCCTTTTCTTTCACGGGGTATGCTTATTTTACGAACGCGAATATCGATGATGCTACCTTTGGCGCGCACTTCCTCCTTTATATAATAGGATTACGAGGTGAGATTGCGAGAGGAGTTTCAAGTCCGTCATACAGAGACCGCGCGGCAACCCGAGTTCACAATGCCGAAGGATCGGGGAGAAACGGCGGGGTTGCCCTCAATTCTCCAGAAAGGACACGAATTGGGTGAGCTTCTGCAGCTGCTCCTCCGTCAGGCAGATCTTGTCCGATTGACTGTACTGTTCCTCGTCGACCGTTTGTTTGCGCGGTTGCACTACGGCACCGTCAACGGTCCAGCCCCTGTCGATGGCGGCCTGTCGCGCCTCGTCCGACGACATTCCGCTCATCGTCGCCATGGTGGTCAGGTTCAGGGAGGAGTACGCCTTCGATATCAGCCTCATCACCCGCTCTCGAACATTGGCTGCAAAAATCGGGGTCGAAAAATCGGCGGGGGATTCCGTTTAGCGTGTGTGCGCACAGAGGTAACTCCTCTCCGTTTTAATAAAGTACGAGAAGTTCGATTAAAGAGTGACTTCAATACTGGCTGGGCAGATTCCGCTTGAATAATCGATTATCGGCCGGCGTTGTAAGCGATAATTATGTAGACGGTGGGTTTAATAACAATTGATTGTCGTTAATTATAATGAGGTACATATTTAGTCCTCGCTTCTACAGATGTAGGGCGCTAAATAAGGAAAGCAACTTGCCGTAGTTAACGCGAAGTTGACCCGCGTATTATATTCATTGAAATACCAAAATATTCTCTTATATTATGCTCAACGAATGTGATTATTGCAATAACCGAGAGGCATACATGCGCAAACGGCAATATATTAGAATTATTTGAAAGACAGTAAATGTCGGATCTGCATTCAACGACTTAACAAATTTTTATCGTCATTATTATAACCGATAATCCCCGGAGGGAGCGTTCGGGACAATTACGCATTCCCATACGTGCAATTATCTTTTTACAGATATTTTCTTGCTTATACAAGAAAATACAAATATTTTCTCGCTCAGGTGTACAAGAAGAATATAAGAAATATAATTCAACGACCGATATCGCTAATTATTATTAATTCTGTCTAAGCAAACGAAACGTTTTATTTTACTATTTTGCCTTACTGACTTACCTTTGAGGGCTACCATAACGTCTTTGATGTCTTCGCTCCATTCCACGTTTAGGGCCGTGTGAACCGCTGGCCAGTTGCGCTGCCACATGCATTGCCCTACCGTCCACACCCGTCCGAGCTCCTCGTGCGCGGCCTTTAAGTCCGCAGGGATTCGCTTCCAGAGGTACTTCGCGTTGCATCTACGACCGCAAATCGTTCATTCAAGCGGGCCAATCGATAAGGAGAACCGGCCGTGCTGCCGGGCATCTCGAGCGCGTTGCAAAAATAAGATCAATCGCGAACGACTCGGCTGCTTCGGCTTGGCGAAAGGTGCATGAAAATTATTTCATGCATCTTATTTTTTATGCTCTTGATGCGAAGCATTCACTGAGCTCAGTGTCGCGAGAAACAGAGAAATGAAGAGACTCTCAAGGTGTCTTAAGTCGAGATGTTTCCTCGAATAATTATGTATGCAAGAACGAACGCAACGCATAAAAAATAAGAAATAGCTCGATCGTAGATAAAACTTCTGGGTCTTAAGACTTCCAAAATAACACAAATAAAAGAACGCTTTGATCGTGCGTCGAAATAAATATAAACAAAAATATAAAATCGCGTACTATTTTTAATAAAACTGAACATTCTCAAAATTTGAAGCGGAAATATGAGGCAAGCTAAAGCTTTTAAACATGTATCAGGAAACAAAAAAATATTGTAAAGACATTTATTTTTTCGGCAATAATTGCGCAATTAAACGCTTGTATGAAAAAATTATAATCTAGTAATTAATAGTTTATAAATATAACTAATTTATAAACTATTTATTTTAAATTAAATTTCTTTATATTTTTTTGTTTCCTGATACAGATTTAGGAGCTTTAGCTTGCCTCAAATTTTGAGAATGTTCAATTTTATTAAAAATAGTACGCGATTTTATATTTTTATATCTTATTTACTTTGACGCATAATCAAAGTGTTTCTTTATTTACGTTATTTTTGGAAGTCTTAAGACTCAGAAGTTTTATCTACAATCGAGCTTATAACTAGAGTTGTAACTAAAATAATAAATTAAATCCATTAAAGACAAATCTTTATCTTCGAATTTATATCTAAATTCAATGCAACTACTTAAATATTGCACAAAAATATGCATAAATCTAAACAAATCAAAAACTTTGTTCAAGAAAATATCACACATCGTATATTAATAATGATATAAAAGCAATACAATTATAGTGGTCTTATATAAATCTGTTAATCCAATCCAACATATTTTAAGAATATGCTTTATTATATATTTTATCATCTTTTACTGTTTTTCATTGTGCTTCATTAAACTGTAAAGTAGTTATTCAATAGTTTGACAACATAATGGAGTATAAACACTTAAATGTCAAAGAATTTTACATATAATTCAAATATAAATTATAAATTATAATAAACAAGGCTAAGGCTAATATTTCATTTGTTCATTCTCGTCATAGCATTTTTCAAGCCTATTGATTGGCTGTAGGATAAAGAGCTCCAACAACTCTTTCTTGCAGCTAATCAACAGGCTTGAAAAATTTGTCATACCACAGAAAATGGATAAATGTAATACCTAGTAGTCCTAGTACCCTTAATTGGCTGCAGGACAGAGAGATTCTTGGATCCCTTTATCTTACAGTCAATCAACAGACTTGAAAAATTCGTCGTACGATAGAAAACAGATAAATGTAACATTACCCTAAAGGTCTCAATCTACGCACATAAGCACATAAATCGTAAGTGAAGTACTATCTTAGCTTGATTTATTAATAAAACAAGCAGAATCAATAAAATATCTGCTCAAGAGATAATGGTATAATCCTTAGTAAGAGATTAAATCAAACGAATGGCAATAAAGTGAGAAGATTTTCTACTCACAAATCATTCTGGTGGAGGTAGACAGCCAACAGTTGCATGTAGGCTTGTGCGGTCATGACCCCGGTCGGCGACTGAAACGGCAGAGAAGATACACAAGTAATTAAAAATCCTCCGCTCACCGAACGGCAAAGTTCGATACAAAGTGTATTTTACTATCCGGCACGCGCGGCGATGAAGCGCGAGCGAAAACGACGACGGAAACGACATAACCTACAAAGCGCTCTCGCCAAGAGCACGGGACTCACCTCTAGCTCGCCCACCTCTACCTCGTTCATCAGTTTGTGAAGCTCGGCCGAGCAACTGGGCACCATGATGACGACGGTTTCGCTGACTATTTCGACGACACGAAGTCCCAGAGACGCGCCGACATGGAGACCGCGAGAACGGGGCAGCCGAAGCGGCGAGACCAGACGAGGAGGACGCGATGACGCGACGGGGACGCGAACAGCTGAGCCAGCCACTGGCCGGAACGCGCGGCGCGGAATCGAGAACGATCGGGAAACTGACGGGGCAGCGAGCGCCATCCCTCGTAGAGCACTGCGTACCGCGTTGGTCCCTTACTGTGTACCGACCGTGGAGCATCAATTGGAATCAGCGCGCGGGAGAGAACTTTGTTATCGACGATAACGTTAATTGCTGTCGGTAAATATATTTACTGTTTGATGATACAACTATTTTATTTGTATATTTCCGCCCACAATTTATCGGCGGCCGGGTTCTCAAACGCATCGCGGAAGGAGAGGTTTTAATCTTTCGCGAGGGGTACCGTCCCTCCCCTCGCCCCCCTGCCCCACCTCGTCCCCTGTCAAGCCACTCATTGTGGCAATATACAGCGGAGAGAAGTGGCATCCTGTATCGGGGAGTGTTAGAACGGCGATGTTTAATTCGCACTGACCGAGGTGTATGGAGGCGAGATGTAATTACTTGTAAATAATCGCCGAAGGTGCTAAGTGTCCTGAACGTTAAAAATGACGATGACATGGAAGCGGACTGAGGAACATTCGGCAGTAGGTGAGAGGAACTGAATTACATGGTATACGCACGTATGTATACGTGTGAACGAATAACCCTCGGCCGCCGCGCGAAACCTCGCGACATCCTGGGAGGTGCCCTCCCGAGTTCAGATAAATTCTTCGTTGCGTCGCATCCGCGAACGGGGACGGGTGGGCCGCGTACTTACGCGTCCTCTCCCTCCCTCCCCTCCCCCCTCCTCACGCAGGCTCGTTGGACTCGTGTCCGAAATGTCGAATTTGCAGCTTGTGTACCTCTCACGCATGACATTTGCGCGCATATACCTATTGGAATATTTACGTGACAGCGTATTATTCAAATGGGACGCGATTAGCAAGTTGTCTCAAAAGACAATCGCGATCCTCGTGCCTTCGGTTGATTTAGAAAGGGTCCCCCTTTGCCGTCGTTACAGAAAACTACGTTAATTAATTCAGACCATGTTTTTGATGTAATTCCATTATTAAGTCATGATGAATGAATAAATATCTCATTGAAATGCATGCTGATTATTTGTTGGGGGAAAAACACCGTACACGTCACACTTCACTCACACGTTTACTTTGTTTCTATAAACTTGCCATAGAATTTATCATTTTGTAGTATTTGGAAGTCGATCTGAAGATACAAATTTTTTTATATTCTAAAATTATTTTTAAATTGTGATGTAAGATTGAGTAGATGAAATGTTGGATTTAATATTGGGCATGCAAACCTCCTCCAACGAATTGTAATCTTGAAGTCAACATAGAGAGGACGATGCTCTATGACAATTGTTAAAACATAGTTCTTATATGTTGTATAATCCTATAATTGCAAAAAAAAAAACCATAAATCCTGAAAAACCTTCCTGAATGCCGAAATCAGTACACGTATCCTATATATTTATTTTTGTATTTTATCACTTTATTTAGCCATCCATAATTTTGCACATCCAATCCCGCACGCAATATGCTTAACGGTCGGGGAGGTTGTACAAATAACTGCGGAATGTGCAGATTGGTATTACGGCCGCAGCAAGTTTAAGGGTACAAGTGGAATTTTTCCAAAATCCTTCGTACATATCCTACAGAAATCAACGAATACGGATAATTTAGTGCAGGAGATCACTAGCGTCTTGCGAGAATGGGGGCATCATTGGAAACATTTATACATGGTATGTATAGAGCTAAAAAAAACAGTTCATGTTTTTATTTCCAGAAACAGAGAGAATATTTACGGATCTAACTTGATAATTTATATTATGTATAGACACATTCCGAGCACTTCATGGCGATGCAGCAGCAAATTCTGGATGCGATTGGGTACAGAAGCAAGATTTTGAGCGGGACTTTGACGGTAGACGAGTTAAAGGATATGAAGAGATTGGCGACGGCGAGGATAGACACCGGAAATCAACTGCTGGGCTTGGATATGGTCGTTCGGGACGAGCATGGAAATATTCTGAATCCCATGGAGACGAGCACCATCCAGCTGTACTACCACCACGAGACTGCTGCGGAAAGGATAAGGAAAGCGTGCAATGAAACCAAGAAGAAGCCCTATAAGCCACAAGTACCTGTGTATTCACATATCTTCTTCGTCAGCGTGAGAAATTTTGTATGTAAGATGGCGGAGGACGTAGAGCTGCTGTTGACGTTGTATGACGGCAGAGAGATGAAGGCTATCACGGAGAATTATGTGGTGTCGTGGAGCAAAGAGGGTCTCGCTCGTGACATCGATCAGTTGCACAATCTTAGAGTGTTGTTCACGGATCTCGGTTCCAGAGATTTGACGCGGGACAAAGTTTACTTAGCCTGTTACGTGATTAGAATAGGCGGTATGGAAGCCAAAGAACCGGATCACCGTCGCTCGAGTGTCGCGCAAGTCAATCAAGTCAAGACCAAGAGCGCGGAAATTATGAGGCGACCGTTCGGTGTAGCCGCGATGGATATTACCTTATTCATCACCGGCAAGCTCGAGGGTGATGTTGAGCAACATCATTTTATACCCTTTGTGCAGTAAGTACATATTTAAAGTACTTCGACTTTGTGAGATTCTTATCAATAGTACAGCCATTCCTGATTGAAGGAGCTAAAGGAGAGCAATACGATCGCTCTTACAAAATTGAGATAGAATCCGTTTCGTTGGTCTCCTGTCTTTGTTTCAGATGTTGTGAGAAAGACAGTCTCGATGGCACATTACGTAGAATTATTGCGCAGAAAGAGGCAAATATCCAGAAACATGTCAACGGTAACATTGCCAGTGTCACAGGTGGACAAGGATTGTGGACTAGCTTGAAACTGTTAAGGGGCGATCCCAAACAGGTGAATCTTAAAATAAATTTCTATTAAATTATTCTATAAATGTTGTAAGAGAAAAATTATATTCTGTAACTTTGAATATTCAAAAGGTGCGTGATGAAAATCCACATTTGGTACTCGGTAATGTTGCTATCGCGCGTAAAATGGGATTCCCAGAAGTTATTTTGCCGGGTGACGTACGCAACGATCTGTATCTAACGTTAATTAGCGGTGAATTCAGCAAAGGCTCCAAATCTACGGACAAAAATGTAGAAGTAACGGTTAGTAAGAGTATACATTTTTTTAAAAATGTATGCATTCTACTTTATATATATTATACATGAGTATTTTACTTCTTTTTAAAACTTCTTTTTTAAACAGGTTAAAGTGTGCAATGAACATGGCGTAGCGATACCCGGAGTTATGACATTAGGAGGCGGCGCGTCTCCAATTGACGAATACCGTAGCGTTATTTATTATCACGAAGACAAGCCTAGATGGTGCGAAACGTTTAAGATTGCCATACCTATAGAGGAATTTAAGCAGGCCCACTTAAAGTTTACGTTTAAGCATCGCAGTTCGAACGAAGCGAAAGATAAGTCTGAGAAGCCGTTTGCTTTAAGTTACGTCCGATTAATGCAACGCAATGGAACAACTCTACAAGACATACAACACGAATTGTTGGTTTACAAATTGGAACAGAAGAAGTACGAGGAGAGCGATATATCCTACTTTAAATTGCCATCAACACGTGGAGAATTGGTATACTAATTTATTTAAATGACGAGATAAAAAGAAGTTTTATATTTTTAAACGTTGCACATTTTATTTACTTTTTTTTTCGTTATTTTTGACTGTGATTTCAGGCTGAATTGAATATGGAGAAGAAGCCAAGTTTAGGATCGCTAACATTAAGCAGTAAGGATAGCTTTTTAATAGCGACCAACATTTGCTCAACTAAATTAACCCAGAATGTAGACTTATTAGGTTTACTTAATTGGGCGTCACACAATACGGACTTAAAGGAATCTTTAGCTGCTTTAATGAAAGTTGACGGGGAGGAAATAGTGAAGTTTCTGCAGGTACACTAAGTCTGATTTATCAAGAGTAAAGATTATGCATAATGAAAGATAATATTTCTGTAGGATAATTATATTAAAATTGGCATTATGTTTTTTTAGGATGTTTTGGATGCTTTATTTAACATCTTAATGAGTAATTCGGACAGTGATGTCTACGACGACATGGTCTTTGAGTGCCTTTTATATATCATCGGACTCGTGTCCGATAGAAAGTATCAGCACTTCCAACCAGTATTAGATTTATATATTTCTGAAAGTTTTTCTGCAACTCTCGCCTATAAGAAATTAATTGCGGTACTATGCAAACGTATAGACAGCGTCAGCAATGGCGACGGTCAGGAACGAGATTTATTGCTTAAGACAATGAAAAGTCTGCAGTACTGCATGAGATTTATTGTCGAATCTCGTCTTTTATTTACTGAGTAAGTTTTATTCATTATTACATATATAATTCTTTTTTTTTTGTGTACATTATATATTTGTAAATGAAACGTTTTATACAATTATTGAAATAGGACTGCGAGTGTATATTCCAAAAAAAGAAGGCTGCATGATTTTTAATAATTATTTGCAATTTATTTTCAAAGGCTAAATCAGGATGAAGAAGAATTCTCACAAACCTTAACTGATCTATTACGATCTATCGTTAATCTCATGAGTCACGAAACAGATGGTACTCTGTTGGTTCAAGGCGCCTGCCTAAAGTACCTACCGACAACGATTCCTCATTTATTGAGAGTTTATAGCGGCAAGCAGCTGAGCACGATTTTAACGGATTTACTTGTGACTCTACCGATGGGTAGATTAACCAAACAAAAAATGATGACAGTGAACGACATCGTTCACAGTCCGCTTTTTTTGAACGTGGACTGTAGGGCGATTCTATTGCCACGAATTACTATACTTGTGAGAGACTTATTGGAAGCCAAAGAGGAGGTAAGATGTTGCGAAGTGCGCTGTTTCTTAATGCTATTTCTTAACTTGCAATTTAAGCGAAATGTGGAATGTTCATATCACTTATCTGTATCTCATCAAAAAAATAATATCAGTTCATATACTTATATATTTTCGCAACACTTCACGAGGAATCCTAACTACAGATACATTTACATGTAACATATAAATTTGATCGAATTCATAAATTTTTACTTGCATTTAATATCGTTCAGCGAGACGTACGATAAATGTCATTGTTCGTGCTTTCCGTGCAGCCTGCGCTCCTTCCGCCACGCATCTTTCTGTGATTCTTCTTTCTCAAACTTCTCTTGTTACAGAGGATGTCTTTATTTTTTTTAATTGTTTATGATTTGTTTGTGATGGTTAAATTCTTTATTAAATTCTGCTAGCCGATTTTTTAATTTTCCATTATATAAAGAGAGAAATAGTTGCATATGTTATTAACCGTGATCTCTCAGAAAATTCAATGATAATTAAGATTTAAGTTGCATTTTCTGAAAATATAATATATTGAAAGACATCCTTTATTCTTGGTAAAGCATGCGAAAAGAAATGACTTGATTATGACTTGAAAGAGATTGAAACTTGGAATGTAGCATGTGTTTGTCCAGTGATGTTATTGTATAATGTTTATCCTGCATCGTGCGATTGGTCTTTACGTAAAATTATTTGATATAAAGTTTATGCAATATAAAAAACTTAGAATTATTAGATAAAATTAGAGAAATGATTAGATACTTTTAATCTACTTTTTTCTAATCTACAATCTATATTTCTTTAATAATATTAATATTTTATATTGCGTTTGATGGGACTGCGTCTTTTCTGCAGTTCTACATTTACATTGGTGTCGGGAAATTTCCAGTAACGTAGCTGTATACGTCCTTAGAAAATGGTATTGTTTTTTTTTTTCAACTAACAAGGGTTGTTTCATTTTTTTTTTTGTACGGTTTGGTTTTGGTTAATGGCGTTTAAAGGGGCTATCGAGTACGCCTGGAAAGAGCGTGGCGAAGGTAGCCAGGCTGCTCGGCGAAAATCGGCATCGACTCAACCAACATCGCGGCTACTCCGAAGAGGTAATTTTTGTCATAAATGCAGGAAATCTTATGCGGTTAAATAATACGGTTTTTTTTTCATGGCATTATGATTTTGAGATTATTTAATAACATACAGAACTTTGATGTACCTTGCACTCTTGTGTCTCTATTGTGTTGCATTACAATTTTAGCATCGGTGATCCGCGTTTACGTGAGTTATTTTTTTTTTGTATGGTGTACAGATTGCAGAGTGTATATCCATGTCATACACTAACTTAGATGTTTAGATTTATGTATTTTTGCACAAAATAATCCTTTATATTTATACTTTATAGGCGCAGATATAATTTACAAAGCAATCTATTTTGTACATCTGTTTTCTTATGTTTCAATAGGTGGAATTATGCGTCAAGATATTATCTGACATCCTGGAACTGACTTTTAGAAAAGACGTAGGTAACACAGTTTCAGACGTCAAGGAGATAATGTTAACGGCCTTGCGTACCATTATACAGACGGTTATATCAATGGACAGAGAAAATCCCTTAGTTGGAAATTTAGTCTCAGTAATGCTGGCAATATTCAGGTACATTTTGAGATTCTAAAAATGTAGAACAATTGTGTAGAAATACTGTGAAAAGAACGGAGATCGAGACATAATTTTGATTTTCTCAATCTTTTTTTTTCCAGACAAATGACACAACACCATTACGAAGTGTATATCAATCATTTTGGGACAAAAATTGATTTGCTCGACTTTCTTATGGAGATACTGTTAGTTTTTAAAGATCTGGTTTCCAAAAGCGTATTTCCAGGGGACTGGAGTGAAATGATCATGCTTCAGAATAACATAATTTTAAATTCTTTACGGTACTTCTCGGCCACAATTAGAGATTATTTTTTCACCGAGTTTGAGCAACAAGCGTGGTCAAATTTCTTTCATTGCGCTATTGCGTTCTTAACTCAACCTGCCCTACAACTGGAGACGTTTACATCAACAAAACGAAATCGTATTATTAAGCGCTACAAAGATATGCGCAGGTATGTCTCTTATATAACATGATAATTACACAGAATGTTTCAAGGCTCACAATAAAACTGAAGACTCAAAACAGAAAGAATACTATTTTTAATATCGAGACAAAAAAAACAATTTTTAGTCGATACATTTCGTGTATAATTATATTTATTAAATATTGTTAAATATAAGGGGCAAATAAAATGAAATGAATATTATCTTTTCTTGCGTTACAGAGCAACCGTGTTCGAAATTAGATCTATGTGGTTCAACTTGGGCCAACACAAAATACTGTTTGTGCCCGCTTTAGTTGGTGCCATCCTTGAAATGGCATTAATACCCGATACCGAATTAAGAAAGGCTACAATACCCATCTTTTTCGACATGATGCAATGCGAATATTATAGTTCACGTATAGTGGAAGGATATGGGGATACTAAGCGCGATCCTGCTCATATCAAAGCTAATTTTGCAGAATATGAAAACGAAATGATTGCAAAATTGGACATTCTGGTATAGTATCTTGTATACATAATTTTCAAATACTGAAACAGAACAGAGCCTGTATTGAAAATTTCGGTAATTACATTACTGATAAGTTCCTTTATCAAAGTTTGGTCTACTACTATCTACAGGTCGAAGGAGGCAGAGGCGACGAACAGTTTCGTATACTTTGGTCTGACGTTATGGGCTCTTTATGCGAAAAGCATTCTACAATGCGGGAGCAAGGCTTACGTTTCGTAGACACTATAGCTAGACTCATGGAACGCTTATTGCAATATCGCGATATTATTCACGCGGAATCCCAAGAACATCGTATGCCGTGCTCTGTATGTTTATTGGAATTCTATTCTGAGATTAATAGAAAGGAAATGTATATCAGGTAAGCGCAAAAAATCCGTAGTTTATTTTTTATAATTCAAATGTTTCAATTGCGTATTTCATATTTGATTAAATCAAAAAATTAGCTTAGATTTTTTTCTAATATTCCAGATATTCCGTAAATACATAATATAAAAAATAAATGTGTATTAAAATATATTATGATTCTCTTATATAGATATGTGAACAAGCTGTGTGAATTACATCTGGAATGCGACAACTATACAGAAGCCGCTTATTCTTTAAAGCTTCACAGCCACTTATTAGCATGGAGTGATCAGCCTTTGTCACCCTTGTTAATATCACACAGGTAATATTACCAGAATAAATAAATAAATGGTTTACTTGTATTTACAAGTATAGACTTGAAAAGAGAAAAATGAAATTAAAATATTAAATCATTATATCATTTTTCTAGATATCCCTTATGTCAAACACACCGTGAATTGAAAGAGGCCTTGTACAATGATATCATCGATTATTTTGACAAAGGAAGAATGTGGGAGTGCGCGCTTGTCGTTTGCAAGGAACTAGTCTCGCAATACGAAGAAGAAACATTTGATTATTTGCAATTGTCTCTGCTATTAATACGTATGGCAAAGTTTTATGACTGTATAGTAAAACAGTTAAGACCTGAACCAGAGTATTTCAGAGTCGCGTATTACGGCAAAGGACATCCTGCTTTTCTTCAAAACAAGGTACTGCCGCGCGTTTAATACATCTTTAATCTTTAAACTTATTCGTTTTTATTCTTCATTCAATGAGATAATATGTTTGCGGTATAGGTATTTGTTTATCGAGGAAAGGAATACGAACGACTTAGCGATTTTTGCACAAGAACACTGAATCAGCTACCGAATGCAGAGCAAATGAATAAATTGTCTCCGCCCACCACAGAAATGCTAGAATCGTACCATCAGTATGTACAAATCAATAAGGTAGAACCACTGATGGATGAAAAGAGGCACCGTCTAAGTGGTAAACCAGTTACTGCAGAAGCAGTTTTAAGGTGTGTATTCAACGTTAAATTACAGCGTAAAAATTTTTATCAATTTTCTACTGTATTTTTATGACCATCATTGTCTTTATGTCCTAGATATCATCGTGTGAATGATGTGCAGCGCTTTAGATTTTCAAGACCCGCTCCGAGAAAGGAAATCATTGCGGCAAATAGCGATAAGGATAAAGAAGTAAATACTAGCACCAATAACAGCAATGAGTTCGCCTCATTATGGCTGGAAAGAACAGTGCTTGTTACAAGCTACCCGTTGCCGGGTATTCTTCGATGGTTCCCTGTGACGTCTAGCGAGACATACTTAGTCAGTCCATTGAGGAATGCGATTGAAACTATGGAGGCTACGAACATGGCATTGAGGGATCTCATTATTGCTAACAAGTTTGTATAATATTTTTATATTATATTCCCGAAACGAGTAATAATTTTATATTACAACAGCCTTGTACGTTTTAACTTAAAACTTTTAACGTTTTAATCAGTCTCTTAAAAATCAAGGCTTATATGGATCAAATCTCGAGATTAAATCTGAGATTTGTCGACTATGAATAGATCGTTTTTACATAGAATCACACGTCATTCCATATATTTTTATAAATTAGGCAAATACAATACAAAAATTTTAATACAATAAAAAATTGATTTACTTATTTGTTATATTTGTTCGTCATCTCACGATATAAACTACTATTTTGTTACGCAGGGGTGATCCCAGTCTTCCATTAAATCCTTTGAGCATGAAATTGAACGGCATATTAGATCCAGCTGTTATGGGTGGTATCGATAATTACGAAAAGGCTTTCCTGAACGCAGAATACAGAGATAGTCATCCGGAAGATAGTTCAGACCTCCTCAAGTTGGAAGGTCTTATTGCAGAGCAAATCCCTCTACTCAGTGTAGGTCTGCAGTTACATAAAACACGAGCGCCCACCGAGTTGGGGCCGTTTCATCAACGTTTAGAGCAATGTTTCATGTCGATGCGTAATCAAGTAGAAGCTAAATATGGAAAAAGGGTAAGCTTCTAACCAAGTTCAACTTAACACCTATCAAAATAATAATCAAGTCGATATACACGCATTAGATTTCTAAATATATAATTTATTCTATAACACAGACCTGCGATTTACAAATTGAAAGCCTAACGCAAACTGTAACAATGCGGAGACCACCAACATCGAGAGGAGATAATCACTGCCTGTCTGAGTCAAATATGAATAATTCAGAGTAAGCTTTTCCGTCCACTTTTTGGAGCATGCACGTTTACTATTTTATTAATAAGTTTATATATCGTAACTAACACAAATATATAATACTATTGCATAGCATGTTATTGCTATATCATTATAAGAAGGCAATGGTAATATTAAAAAAAGATGTTAACTGCTTTTTAAAAAAACAACATTAAATGGCAATTGTTTTTAACATTTATTTGCATTATTGCACCTTTATTTGCATTAAATTTTAAAATAACGCGGCTGCGAGACATTCCTCTAGGCAGTATTATAAGTAAAAACAATGCGAATGTGGGTGTGTGTATTATGCAGAATGTCTAAGATCATTGTTGATCTGGGAGACCCTGTGTAAATAGCGAAATAATTACATAGCTATTTCGTAATTACCCCATTCAGCTGTGCAACTCACTACAGGGTATCCTCACTTACAAGATCACAAGTTGCAACGTTCAAGTCGCTTACATCGTTCAATTTTAACAACAGCACATCTCCGAGTAATGCTCAAAGCGTCAATTTGTCAAGGTAAAGTCATCATATCAGTGTTTAACTTAGCTTCAGCACTAACTAAAAGCATTTTCTTTTAAATGAATTAGTGTAATCCTGATTATTCAAAACAACAAAGTATTTATGTGTCTATATACTTTGATTTTACTTTGATTTTACTTGAATATCTAAATATGCAATTTTTAATTAATTGTCATTAGATGCACGGATTCATTTAGTATGTTTTTATGAAATTCACGTTTCTACATTTATAGAAGATGAATAATATAAAAATGTCGTGTTTAGAACATGATAGAAAAGAATGCAATATGATTTCAGGAATATTGCTGTTGGACCTGATAAACTCTCGCATAATACCTTATTATCCTTTCTTCGCACTTAGTATTCCTGTAAATGTTCTTTTTACATTTTACATTTTTTTTTTTTTTTTTTAATGAAAGCACACAATAATGCTTAATATATCTTGCTTGTTTTATTTTTGTTAATTTTTGCGATGCAGTAAATAAATTTATATATATATATCCCATCACACGTATTATACTAATTTGCACTAATCTATGTTACTTCATATACATGTGTGTTTCGAGGGTAGGTAACTTTCAGAAAACAATAACATAATTAGCATTGAGTAAATAATATTAAAATCCATATAAGCAATTTTTTTTTAATAATGAAAATGCAGATTTTGCACATATAATAAAATAATAAAAACCATTTTGAATGTCATATAGCCATATTTCTTTACATTATATATATCATTTTAAATATTTAATTCTAAATGTATGCAAAAAGTGTATTATTAGTTTTTTTTATTGCCATTTTTATATCTCTTGTTACACTTGTTTATTTCACTTTTTATCTGCATGATTTTGTTTTGCATATTTCACAATATCATAAATATCCCTGGAATATACATATATCTCCTTCAACTGGCAATCTCTACTAAACTTCCTAAGTCTACAATAACTACGATAGGTAATTAAAAATATAAGTACACTTGTGTTACGAGATTATTGCAAAGCTCGAATAGCATCGCAATTGATTATTAGATATTTCTCTTACTATGCTGACCCCTCAACATATAATGAGTAAAATACGAGCGTACACACGACGTTTAGAAAATTTTAACAATGATTGTAAATTTTAAATTTGTTCCATTGTCAAATTCAATCGCTTATCCACTCAATTATGAGTTGCACATTGTCCAAACTCTAGTAGTTGATCTCTATCTTTTCGATCTTTTTGATCCAGTTACTTGGCTATCTGAAAGTTTTTCCTCTTTCGATGGAGAACATCTTTGATCGCGGATATTTGTAATCTGTAGGACCAACTCCATGCGTTCGCACATCTTGTCAACGGCCTCTTTGCAAAAGGCATTGGGAAATTCGAGCCCGGGAACGTACAAGAAGAAGGACTCGAAGCGTAGAAGCTCGCGAAAGAGCGACTCTGCCACAGTGACGAAAACCGAGCAACCGACCAGCCAGTGGTATACCACGACCGAAATATCCCACAGTTCAATTCAGCAAACACCATCGCCTGTTACATCGTTAATATCGAATTTGCACTCATCAACGCATGTATTCGAGCTTCGACAAGAGGTAAAGATTTTATGGACATTTCTTTGTTGCTCGCGATTTTAAAGTAAATATAATTGGAACGCGCTTCTCTGCACGCAGCTCACACCTAAACGTCCCCTGAGATCGGAAGTTGAGAAAGAAAGGAGAATGAGTAATCGTTGGTCCGGCCAGTCTCACTATTTAAGGAACATCAACAATGGCCTGGAACCAAGCGGCTTAGGGAAGGGAAACAGAGACAGCGTCGGCACAACCGACAGCACAGCGTCCGAGGACGATCCACCACCGCCGCTGCCGATTAAGATGCGCGAAGCCGATTATTGCAATCTTCCAGAGGAGGTGTCTACGAATCGGTGTGCGACTACGTTGAATAATCTGAACAAGTCTTCGGGACAGTGGAAGAACAAGTTGCCGACGCCCACCGACGACGATGTGGACAGTCAGGCTAAACCGCCGACACCGCCACCAAAACCGAAAAGACCGATTCACAATTTGAACAGGAACGTGCTTGCCACTAACGACGTGGAAAATTCACCTGTCGAGGATTCGTCGATCGCATAATCGTAACGTAAAATTCTGCAGACGCCTCACCGTTGACCACCTTGCCAAGTGTTGTGAACAAAACAAGCGTCCATCCACGTTTACAAAAAAAAAAAAGAAGCGTTTTCCATTGATTTTTGTACGGTCGATCTTTAGAAAAGAGTTACCATTTATTAGAGTTAGCGTTATAATATATTTCTTTGTGCCTTTCTTTCGCGGTTTAGGATAAGCCGAATAAGTATACGCTAATTGTAACCAATCTTTAACGAATGTGTATTCTGTACAACAGAAGATATTGCTTTATCTGTACTGGGCGAGCAATGTCAATTGACAAAGGAATCCAAAAATTAATGTGGATTTAAAAGACATAATTTTATAATTTATAGCACGCACATGTGACGAGGACTATAATAACGTCGGTAATCTAATACTATAGCAATGCATTTGTTGTATTTCTATTCTTATATATAGCGAAGCTTTGTGCTATATTCAGAAAGATTCCAGATTTTTATAACATTATCGATAAAACGGTGTAAAAAAAAAAAGGAGGGTATTTGTGCTTATACAAGAATGAAAGTTAACTTTTAACAATCATTCGAACAAGCACATTTTTATCGAATATACTTTAATATTGCTTCATTGCAATTCACATGCTTGCTGTAATATCCATTACAATGCGTAGCATACTACATAGTAACGTCCATTTTTTCGATCAAAGACGTCATTTCAATATGACTTTGGACATATATATTTATGGAAAATATATATTTTTTATAAATTTTGATATGAAACGTATACACGCGCATAGCTTTAATTGTAATGAAAAAAACTTTGGAAACCTTTTACATTTTATACTAACCATTTTTGAACGGATTTGCTATCAATAACATAATATCCATTAAATGTAATAATAACAGTTAATGTTTTGCAATTTTTTATTTGTTACAATATTCTAATTTATTTTACAAATTCAATTTTTATAACATAATTATGAGAGTAGTTATAATTTAATCGCGACATGTAGTTATTTAAATATTACCAAGAGCCATTGTGATCTAGTGGTAAAACAATTTATATATGTGTTACAATGTTTATGTAAGTCATTCATAACTTGTTAACAGCGAGACTGTAGTCTTATATGTTGACTTATTTTTAAAAAAAGCACAAAAACATATTGAGAGATTGTTTACAAATATATTCAAGAATAAGTATGCAGCAAATGATAATGCATATGCTTTTGCATATTTGTTTTTCACCCAAAATGAATAATGTACTTGTAATGATTGCATAATAGTCGTAATAGAGTCATGACAAGCCCATGACAAGCTGCTTCCTAATTGAGCACAAAATCAGAAGTTTAAGTGGACTACAAGGAGCTATAATCGTATAATTGTAACGACTTTATAATCAGGGTACCGACTTGTATTGCCTTTTAGTTACAGCACGTTCTAAAAACTTATCTAATCAGAAACAGCCTTTCATACACGTTGATATACAAGTTATTTATTATTTCGTTTTTTTTTTCATCATTATCATTTGAGTCTCATGCCAAAGAGATTAGTGCTTTATTTATTAAAAAGCGTTTAGAGCATTATATGTATTGCTGAGGAAAAGGAATATCGTGTAATATATTGATATTTATGTAATATGCACGAGAAGATCAGCAAAAAAAATAACGAGCTTGATATAGTTTATTCATTATTACACATATAATAAATTAATGTAACAAAGATCTGTATTCAAAGTTATTGTTCTTACGTTCAACTTGTTTACTTGTTTTTACGGAGTAAACCTCCATAAAAGAAAAATATATATAGCCATATGTTTTGAACAGAGCATTTATGAATACAGTTCTTAGCTTTGACAACAATTTTGTTATGTAATCGAAAAAATTGACAATACATTGAGTCTAAAAATTAAGAAATTTAACATAGTGCCATTTGCTTTCCTAATTACATAATTAATTGTTCTTATTTAATGTGCCGTCTTTGTATTCTAAACTGAATCAATGTTTCTTTTTTTTTTTTTATTCTTACAATATAATATATCGCAACACTTTCATATAAATCCATTTTTATTTAATATACTTTATTTATTTAATTACATTTACATATATCGACAGACATTAATTATAAACAAGTGCCATTCAAAATATTAAATCCATACACTCTATATAATACATTTTTCCCACTAGCTAAATGATAAATATATATACATGCTATATAAAACAAATCAATTTTATTTATAAAAAACGAAATAACTTCACATAATCCCAAGAATTCTTATTTTTTAATGTAAGCACAATATAGGTACATCTCTTATATAGTATTGACTAATTATTTGCTATAAAAATATATTTTATACCGTTTTCTTATAGAAAGAAATTTTACAGTGACATTATAAACAGTACGTGATGACACTTAAAAATTTAATTTTGCGAAACAATGGATTCATGCATGGTATTATAATTAGTACATTATGATGTTATGATAAAGATGAATTCGGAAAATAAATCGACTTATAATTTATTTTTCCCTAATAATTGTATCATCTAATTAACATCGTTCATTGTATTCTTGTCATTAGTTCTTTTTTTTTTTTCAAGAGTTCTCAAAAAATAGGTTCAAAATAAGTTTACTAATTTCTTTTTTATCGCCAGATATAGTTATCAAATTTTTTCTTCTTAATTTATAAACTATAACTATTTAAATTTTTATTATAAATATATCAATAGCAATTAGGCCAAATTATAAAATAACAAATAGTGTGAATTTATAATAGATGTTATCTTTATTTCAAATTAATAACATCTATTATTAACTTACTAATAATAGCATTGGTCGACATGATAAAAATTTCCTGAAAAAAAAGATGGTTGTTGCACGGTGCAAGTAAATAGTTTTGTAATATTGAAGATACTTGGGCAATGTTTAAGTATTCATTTAAGATCTTTTAAAAATTTTTAGCACATCAGGTTCGTCCGCTACGATTTTGCAAAAATTGCCAAAAACGCATTTTTTAAGGATTTCAATTCCATTCTCCTAAAAAATGTGACATGATAGACAAATTTTGAGGGCAGCATCGTTTTCAGCGTTCGAAAATCTATCGGGAAACCGCTCTCCTATTTCAGGAAACTTTTAGCATGTCGATCAGTGTATTACAATAATGCCATGAATAGTAAAATAACACTTATTTTAAACTTGTTATTTAACTTTGGTTGGAAGTGTGAGAAAATACATCTCTTCATACTTGTATATCGTTCTCTTGCGTTCTTAACATAGTCTTTTGAATTAAGTTCACAAATATATTAATATGCACGCGCGTGTTTTTATTTATATATTAAATTCATAACCGTATATTACATTGACATGCATTGCAATATAGAGCGCTAAAAATCTTCACATTCTATGTATGTAAAATATAAAAGTAGAAAATATATATATTGAGATGCTATTCAGTTTTAATAGAAAAATAACATAATGCAATCAGTGTACACAGTACTCCTAAAGGACAGGCAATCTGTAGTGCTAAGTTGACATTTAGCTAAGTCTTTTTTAGAAAAATGAATATTTTCGTTCTCTTTCAACTATAGCAGAAACTATATAACAATTTTCCCCTCACTATTCTCATAGATAAGAGATAGTATTAATGCATCTAAACCGTACAATTGCTCGGTAATTCCATAGTAAGAATAATCGATAAGTTTCTCGCTGCTACATACACTCACATGCAGAAAAAAGTATCACACGCTTTAACATAATTATACATTCCGCATATAAATAGTAAATTCGTAATGCCTTTGCAATCATCGGACCTTACTATTAAAAACTATAGCAAATATTACATTTGCACTTCAAATGAAAATTCGAATCTCACAAGGCATGAGCCATACGCCACATTCATTTAAAAATTTACATTAAAAAGTTATATTTATATAACTGTAAATATACAATATTACATATCATCTCGCGTAACGTCAGTATGCCAATTATTCGCATCCATAAATTTTTACGAAAAAGTGCAAACTGTCATATTTGCGAAAATTATCTATATCTAAAAATGTAATTATGCAGACTAATGGGACACATCGATTTTCCTCATTATGATTAATGATATATACGGAAACAGTATGTGACAGAGGAGCCAATTTGAATGAAATGATTTTGTTTAAACAAACAAATATCACGCAATATGCGCATTATGAAGCTATGACTAGAAATGATATTACTATTTATTCGACTTTTAGTCGTTTACTGAATTCCTCTTGCTGCTTTTCCCTCCACTCCTTCTTCGGCTTGATTCTCTTGAGTTGGCCGTCCCTGCCGTTCAAATATATAAAATAAGTATACCATATTTATTTGCAATTCTTCGTAGAAAATTCCCATTTTCTATGAAAAGCTTTCTATGAAGCAGCATCGAACGTACCATTGCAGATCGACAAGGCCACCTTGCCGCGCTATCACAGATTTCACTCGATTTGCAAAATCGATGGCACTTTCTCCTTCCTTTCTCTGCATTGGAGGGAGATACCACACATCGCAGACTATAGCCCAGCTGGACATCATCATATATAGATATTGTATCATCGAATATCGACTGCTGTTCCAAAATGCGTCCCCGAATCTTGGATCGTACTATACATTGAAGAAAAAGCATAAGAAACATTGTAAACAACGTTATACAAAGATATACATCATATATATTGATAAAACAATTACTTTTATAGCCACAGGATAAATAATGCTGCCGACTTCAAAACTGCCTTTTTTGAATTGCATAACCGATGTATTGTTGATACATGTACCCTCCGGGAATATGAGTATCGGTGGGTTTGTGGGATCTGATACGTGTTGCTTCAGCCTACACAAAATTATTAATGTATAGATTAATAATTATATCCTACAAAATATGGACAATATAAAGAATCGCAAAAACATAATTGCATTTAAGTAATCGTACCTCTTCGCAACTGATTCTCTGTCTTTGACCTCGGAGCGTTCAAACCATATGTGTGGGGAGGCACGGGCAAGAGCTCTTTGTAGTATTCCTAAGAAACCACCATGCCTCTGACCTATCTATAATAAGAAAGGGAAATAAGACGATCTGATCTGCATTTAAAAATTATATATATATTGTTTTCCAAAAGTCGTACACTTCCTCCGAATTATAGATGCTGAAGAACAGAATGGCAATTATTTCAATGCTATAATTAATTATAATCGTAAAAATGTAAAAAAAATGTTTCTTAAATAATAAATCATAAAGTATTAACATAAATTTCTTTATTATAATATAAATTTCCAGCTTAGTTTTCGTACATTTAACATTTATACCTTCTGAAATTATAATAAATATAGATTTTTCTCATACAATTTTTCCAAAAAAAAAGCCTGATCAAATCAGCCACTGAGAAAAGTATGTACGATTTTTGGAACGTTTCAATTAGAGCGATTATGACAATAAAATTATTAGTAGTAATGAAATGCATGAATGTTTATTCAGTAACAGAACATCGTTCTAAAGATGTTCGGAAAAATATTATGATTAGGCAAGGCAAAAAAAAAATCGTGCAAAAAAGCAATTGTAAAAAGGTATCCATATGAATAAGCAGAATGTTAGAAACGTACCAATGAGTAACAGTTGTCACACATGAGTACGAGCACGTCAATGGGAGATGTGTGATTAGCTACACATATGCCTCTGACAGGTCGATTCTCTGGATTGTTGTAGGTGATGACTGAAGACAGAGCACTGGATAAGATAGCAAAGCACATTAGGGACAACTTGTAGTTGAGCCACCGCTTCACGCGACCCTCGGGAACGTAGCCCACTATTGCAGTGCACAGTGTCAGCCACATCACCTGTAAACCACAAGCTTTGCACCTGAGAAACGTGGGATTCCCTCTCTATCGTTGCTGAGTACTACCTGTAAACCAAAGTTACAGGACACGTTACCTGTAACATTTACCAGTAATGCGCAACAACTTCTGTAACACTAGTAACGAACTCCTGATTCTCGACCATACGAAAGTGAACCGACCAAAATCCGCGTTATTTTGTTATTACGTGATAGGCACCATGAAGGAATTATTATACCTTTGTATGCAGTGTTATACCATTAAAAGAAAAAAGTACCGTACCAAAACTGTTTCACACAGTTTGAGTAATCCAGTTTATATAAATATATGATGTCATAATTGAATATATATAATTATTTCGGTTCCTGTACCATTCCCAAATATGATAAACTAGTCAAATTCAGTCAGTACAAAAGCTATTAATAAATAGATATGTTCGCTACGAAGCGATGATGGTGCGACGCTTAAAATCTTTAAGCTTTTAAATATATTGCCCAATGATATATTAGATATATAAAAACTAAGCTAAAAATCTATATTATAATAATGAATTTTATATTAATACCAGGCCTATCTTGATTACTTAAGAAACATTTTATTTTTCTATCATTTTCAATGATTAATCAATTGCAGCATTATTGAAATAAATGCCATTCTTAACGATCTTTAGCATCTGTAATTCAAAGAAAGTCCACGACATATTACCAAAGAGAATGTTGTTTGCATGGACAAAACGCAGACGTCGAGAATTGCAGACGTGTGATTCGACACGCATACCCCTCCGTTTTTTGGTTTGTACTCTGGATTGTGAATCGTGATCACACCCGAGGTACAACAGAACATGATCCTGAATGCAATAAGGGAGAACTGGTTGTTCACCCAACATTTCAAACGGCCATTCGGTAGAAAGCCGATAAAAAATGTTACGACTAGTAGATATAGTACCTAAGAAGCTTTGATATTAGTACGTATACAATTTTAAATTTATTAATTTTTACGTCTGATCTTAAACTTAACAAACTTTAACTTCGGTGCCGCAAATTTAAAACGTGTATTTAAAAATTACATCCGGCTTTTTTGCAAAAAATTAATATCTACTATCTAAAATGTGCTAGCTAAAAATCTATATTAAATTGATTTTATATCGCTTTTCATTGACTTTATATTGCTAATAAATAGGATTTCATTCGGGAAAAACTATCAGTTGTCGCAATTTTAGCCGCTTACTATGTGTTATTACAGCATTTCTATATTCATATCAGCACGAGGGGTCAACCACTATGGGAATTAGTGTACATTTTTTTAGGAATATGTTGCCAGTATTGCGGTAATACAATACTAGCAATACACTATCAATAGACTATAACAGACGGCAGCAATAGATGGCAATATTACTGACAATACAAAAGTAATACAGTAGCAATACTAGCAATAAAGTGTGTTGTATTGCTATAATTGGCAATCACTGTACATTTTTGTAGTAGTGGTTGACCCCTCGTGTGAGCATTACTATATATATTATATTAGATATAGAATATGTAAAATAAATATCGAACTTACCCCTACAAAGCAGAGAAATATCCTTAAAGGTAGCAGGAAACAGTAACGCATGACGAATCCGAACATCCATATAAAAGTTAACTTCCAAGAGATGAACTCGTACTGTCTATTCGTTCGGGTTAACAGATTCCAATTCTATAGGATAAATCATTAAAACATTAAAAATTGTCATTATGCAAATTATACGATTATTACAGTCGATAAAATATTACCTTAAGTTCTTCAGCTTCAAAGCGTGAAGTCACCTCGTCTTCTATAATAGCTTCAACGCCCGCTCTGATGTAATCCAAACTTCCCAGCGCAAATCCGGATCTTACCATTTCAAAGGAATTTTTTTGATTAAGGCTATCCTAAAATATTCAGAAATAATTGAGATATGGCTAAATAAAGTCTAAAATATGGCGTTATTTTGTCAAACTTGATAAAAATATAATTTATTTTATATAAGGTTTTTTTTCTTTAATTTACCTCTTTGTCATCCATCATCGACGGTTCGTGATCGTTTTTAAGGCTCGATTCGTCAACGTGACTTTTGTGATTCTGCATCTCCGGCTCGGGGACCAAGATTAGATCCTTCGATCTGGCTATCACCGAATTACTCACATTCCCGTTTTGCATTTTAGGCGATGTCATCGTTGAATCCTTTTCCGTGATCGTCGGTGACTCCTCTTCTATGTTAAGATTCTTATTTCGATCCCGAGTACCGTTCCTTTTCCTCACATTTTCGATGTTTTGTCGGCCGTACTGCAACACAGTAAACGTGGCGTAAGTCGTAAAATGCGTGTAACAAGTCAATTATTTGCGTTTGTGACTTGAATTTGTGGTCTTTGCAACAACTACAATTTACATTTACATGAACCTTAATATGGAAAATTTCTTTCACAACTGTTTTTAGAATCTCAAGGCTTTTTTGCTCTTACATTCTTTATGCTTTGAAAAAGATATACCGTTATTACTTGAAACCGAAAATTTCTTGAATAATCTAGTTTAGTAGCAAACATTATATCTGATGAAACAATTCATACTATTCTGTGGATCATTAAACGCTGAATAATCTAATGAAATTCGTACTATTCTAGATGAATTATTAACAAAAAATATTTTGTGAGCCTTCGAAAGATGCGGCAATCATTGTGCCGGAAAAAACAAAACCTAATTGTTTCAGTAAATTTAAAACAGAATTTTAAAATATCAGCCTTAATTTTCTACAAGTATAATAACACAATCTTATCTCGCTTATTTTTGTTTTGTTGAGATAATAAAATTTACTTTTCATTTTAATACCTATACTTAAAGTGTTTTCGCAACTACTGTGCAAATACGCAGTAGGAAAAATAAATTATATTGAAGAATATTATCGAGATCATGCAAAATTTAATTTTATGCAAAATATAATTTTACTTTCATATATAATTTTATTAGCTATTTAGAAATATATATAATTACATACTTTATTTTATGTATACTTTTAGAAATACATATAATTACATACTCGTACTTTATTTTATGTACTTTTAAAATCATTATTCGCAACGCAGATGCATTTGATTATCATTACCGCGGAATCAGCAATTTCAATTCAAGGAGAGAGGAATAAGGCAATCGTCCCACAACAAGTTGCGTAATACGAAAATACTTCGTTGCAGGAGATAGCGAAAAACAGATGCACGCGCATGTTAAGCTGTAGGTATATGCATATGTGTTCGAGAAACGATACGTCGAAGATAGACATTCTTTGCGCCATGAGAACGTAATCCACCGGAAGGCCGCCTTAATAATTATCCTCTAGTTATAATGAGACTTTGATCTTCGTTCATCGATTGATAATGGCGAGATAATATTTATCAACTTCAGCAATGAATCACAAACACGGTACAGGAGCAAACTCCAGAAAAGTGAGATCAAACACGCGTGAACATCGCGTGTCCATGATCATCGGTTGCTCTGCTGACGTATATAGATTTTGATACGATAGAAATTTGATCAATTAACGGTCAATAACTTCTTGAGATCAAATTAAATTGTTTTTTGATTATTCGAAAGATTGCGACGACAATTGAATGCATTACGATTTTTATTAAATAAAACATAACGCTTACTCAATCTTGCACGTCGTTAAAGAGATTAAAAATAACATTTTGATTCAGAAATATATTTATGCAGTTGTCAAAATACACTCAAAGATGAATTTATTTGGAAAAAGAAGTCTATTTTTCATTGTACGTTCATTACTTTCGTCCAGTTGACATGCTGCACATTATCGCGTGCGCAATTATTTGGTATGAGTGTATTCAAGTGCGTTAATTAATTCCGTCGACGCAAACACGTCAAGTCACTCCTGCTGTTTATTGAATTGGCACTTATTCAGTGCGTTTGTACCAGGTAAATTAATAAGAGTACATTTGTCTCTGCATTGTAGAGTTACTAGAAAATCGAGAATTGCGTAAATCGGAATTAAACAAATTATTAGTAATGTCTATTAAAATATTGTAAAAAAAGAACTTTCTAATTAGTTCCTGTAGTTTCTATCAATTTATATTGTAAACTTTGTATATCGGTTCGGTTAGAATATAAAAATTTTATGTCATTTGAATTCGAGTGGTTATATTAGTAAAATATGACCTCCGATTTAAAACGTGGATGATCGATTTTAGATGTATTTTTAGGATTTGACCCCTATTGACAAGTGCAGCTTTATATGGATGTTAACGGACATGTCAGTTGGAGACGTCGAATACTTTTCTGTGTAAATTACTATGACGTTGCATTATTGATGCAACAATGTTAAACTTGACAGTCATGCACAAGTGCAACGTGTACCTCCCTCCATAAGAGCAGATGCAACAATTTTCTGTTTTTCTTTCTCTCTCTCAATGTTATGATAAAGAAAGCTATGTTAGAAAATGATAGAATAACAATGGATAATAAAATATTAAACAATTATTTTATTAGTATTAAGAAGGATTAACGGTTAAATAATTTAAAATAAAAATCTAAAAAATTTACATAAAAGAAATTATTTTGAAGAAATAATTAAATTTTCTCTCATTAGAAATTCTCAATAGTCCATATCATACATTTTTATATTTAAAAAATAAAAAAAGATAAAATTCACAAAATAAAAACCGCGCGAAACAGAGAGAGAGAGAGAGAGAGAGAGAGAGAGAGAGAGAGAGAGGGGGGGAACAGAGTGTTAATTTTCAATATTTTTAATAAATTATTATGAATTAAAATGAAGTATTTGCAACATTACGTTTCTCATAATTCTATTTACGAATGTCCTTCCATTTTTAACATTTAAATATACCATTTACCATTAATATTTAACTTTATAATAAACTTGACTGTGATCCGTATAATAATATAACGAAGCTGGATACGTATACTGAATGGCAGGAAAAAAAGATAAAAAGCGAGAAGTGTTGTTTACCAAAATTATCTCAATTTCCAACAGATTGGATTATCCTACCGATTTTACGCAACGAGATATATCGTTGAAGTGGTGTGATGTTTCACCTTTGTTATCGAAAAGTCCAACAGTGAAATTTCAATTCGATAGATAAAATGTTGCAGATTGCAAGCAACAGACCGATAATACATTCGATACTAATTATGCAAATCCGTTTTACTTACATCTTCCATGAGAAGAGATTGATTATGATTTCGTTCAAGTACCTCCTCATCTTTAACTTGTCGTTAAAGTTAAGATTGCGAGATAAAGGAAAAAGCACATAGATATACTTTATATTTTCAGCTTTGTGCTTAGAAACCTTCGTTCCTTCCGTAAGATGATCTTATTGATGGTACAAAAAATGTGTAGTGCCAGATAAAATTTTCAGATAAAATAATTATCTAACACAAATAAGAGATATTTCTTACAGTGATTGACATGAATTATCACATGTTGATTGTGCACTTCTCACATTAAGACCAACAACCACGTGTTGACAGCCGCGTATATACATACACATACATGATGACATCTCACGTTTCATATAACAAATCGCGCGCCGCACAGTACATATGCTAATGACTGCTAAACGAGTATCAGCGATACACAGTTTGGAAATAAACGGCGTAGTTAAAAAAAAGCTTTGTATACTGTTTTAAAAGAAACAAAATTTATATAGCATAGCAGCGTTTAAGATCGACTAATTTTTTTCGATGCTCGCGAGAAAGGAGAAGCGATTAATCTGCATAATAATGCATATGTTATGCATTATGTTTAATCGTTACGTTGCGCAGCATTCATGTTGCGATAATTCGTGAAAAAATTACGCAAGTTACTAAATAATCGCATTTTAGTCGATACTTCCTCACGCGCTTTGATGCGCGAATCACAGCTTCAGTATCGCATCTGATGATTGACGACACATGTGATGCGAACGTGTGAGAGAACATCCGGATCACGCGGCACTCTACTCGTATATCCGCGGGCTTTCTCCCGAGAGAAATTGCACGAGACCTCCCACTAGCTCTAATTGAAAAAGGAAACCTAGACATTTCACAATTGCACAAAATAGGATTTATATACGATAATTAGATTCCCTATTATATTTTATGCACGAAAAGGTATCAATAGAAATTAATAGCGTTAGGTTGGTAAACGCTAAAATATCAATTTAATTTTTAAATTTCATTTATTAATTTTTACTCTTACTTAAATTTTTGTATTTAACGTCTTATTTAATTTTTTAATCATTTTTCTTTTTTTTTTTAATTTAAATAGAATTACATAAAAATATGAAACATATGTAACTTCTAATATTTAATTCCTTATTAAAAAAAAAATATTTTTAGCATCATATTTTTATGAGTTATGTGTGAAACGCAGTTCGCATTTTAAATGAGCATCATCAATCCTCATTAATAGTTAACAATGCCATTTTAAGAAAAGATTGATTGGGGACAAGCTGCATAAAAATAGCACAGGGCAGTTAGAAGAAGCACGAAATCTTTAATTTTACAGTCGGGATATCAAATTTTTGTCGCTTACAGAGAAAAAAAATCACGAAAACTCTGGAATAATCATGAGAATCTGGAAAATGTAATATTTCCATAATGACAAATTACATTGAAAACAGTGTTGCGGAAATAATTCTAATATCAATGTATTAAAATCGTAATAGTCAACGCTATTCTGCATTCCGAAAGTAAAACGAGCAAGTTTTTCAAGTTATAAAATGACTGATTGCTCTCGAAGAGTTATTGGCTATTTAACATCGATTCGCTTAATTTAACAATAAACGCGGATGTTTTGCCGATCAATTGTTGCAAAAAATCGATTAGTCCATTGTGCCGGCATAGTTAATGATACTATCGTTTTTTCGAGCGAACTTTGAATCGGTTATTATCATTTTTACAAACCATTATCAGATGTATCGGTTTATCTGATCTTGACATATCTATGAAGATTCACTTACAGAGAGATCAAAGCTTTTGTAGTATGTGAAAGATTAGCGTTTAACAGACTTTCATTTCTTTACACGATGAGCTTTCAACTCGAATCGATTGTGTCGCATAATGCATTCCATTAAGAAAAATATTTTCTTGTTGTAACGATTAAGGCCTTCGCCTTAAAAAACAAAATAAGCTTAAAAAAGAAACATTATTGCACACAATTGTTTACAGCGTAAGCAAACAAAATTATTTTGTAAATATGCCTTACGTAATATTCGCACATTTTCACTTGCGATTGCAACAGTCGCTAGGGATCCACATTTGATGTATTCGTGCATCTCGGG